TTATTGAATATAAAAATATAATTTTAATGACTTAAGTAGTGCTTATAAGTTATAAATATAGAAAAGTAGTTAATGGTTGAACACAAATATATTTGGCATTCATTCGTGTGGAAAGTCATCATTAATTTAATACTGAATTGTGAATACTTTCATACAATACAAGAATCTGAGTGTTAGAGTCAACGTATTTACACGACTTAGTCGACAGCCATAGAAGCGGTCGGAAGTGTAGTCTTATTTAAATCGCTGAAATACGGGTGCTTTAGGGCGGCTTTGGCTGAGATGCGTTTGTGCGGGTCGTATATCAACATACTCTGCATTGTGGACACAAACTCGTCAATCATTTCCATTCACTAAATGCATGCAAATCATAGCAAATCACGAATCAATACATACCTGAAGTAAGTCTATTCCGGACTGTTCTGTGTTTGGCATCAGAGACGGGATAATGTTTTTTTTCCAACTCGGGAACGACTGCTTATAGTCAGGCAGTTGTGTCACTCCCGGCCAGTTGTCCTCCACCGGTGTTCCCAGTGTTCTGAACGCCACAAAAAATAATACATTAAAGCATACCATCAATTGCTAACTGATCCCAATCTGTACCGAAATATACGGAACAACTGATCGATTTCAGAGTCGCCGTGAAATAAGGGGTTTTTGTTGGCCATCTCCGCGAATATACAGCCAATACTCCAGATGTCGACCGGCGTTGAGTACCGTTGGCCGCCGAGCAGCACCTCCGGAGCCCTGTACCACAGAGTGACCACTTCGTGGGTGTAGACGCGCACCGGTATGCCGAAAGCCCGCGCCAGACCAAAGTCGGCCAATTTTATGACTCCCTTCGAGTCGAGCAACAGATTCTGCGGCTTTAGGTCCCGATGTATGACACGCCGCGAGTGGCAGAAGACTATTGCGTCCAATATTTGGTACAAATAGCTCTTCGGGATAATGCGGTGATCAGTGGATCAGTTAATTCAGTCAATCATTTCAACGCAAACGCAAACTAAATGGTAATAATTGACTCACTTTTACGAGACTCTCTTCCATGAGCTTAGGGTTTGGCAGCGAATCCAAGTATTTCTTGAGATCCATCGACAGGAACTCAAACACCAAATAGAGTCGGTTTTCTTGCATTATCACGTCCTCCAGACTGTCAACAGATCCGGCAATCCATCAGTTCATACAATATGGT